TAAAGGCTTTCGAGATTTTTGTAATGTATATTATAATATATATATATTGGTTCTTAGTTTCCAAAGATGACGAAATCTATAAAATAAAGTACATTTATCGGATCGAATTATATACCTAATAGACATTTTGGATATTATTGGAGACATATTATTGTATTAACTCGAAATCAAGTTAAAACAATTGTACTCATGTTTAATGTAGGTACGTTTGTTTTTGATAGTTTGACAGCCGTTCTTTACATAATTACATAATTTATTTCACCCGTAAATGATTTTGATATTTATCTAATAATTAGATATCAAAATCATTTACGGGTGAAATAAATTAAATTTAACCGAGCAGTGACAAGAACATCGTTTGTGCGTGTCATAGAATTATTGTTTGTTGACCGTCCGGTGCTTCCGCGGTACTATAAACATTAAAAACTAACCGTTTAATATAAACAACATTATTAAATCCATCCTTTGGCTTTTTAAGGTGTAATATACACATTCTGAATTGTTTACTGTCGACAATATATAAATAGTATCATTTTTTGGCTGTTGAACGTTAATTAAAAAGGGTAATAACTTTAATGAATTAAGCAAGTACTTACGCTAAAACTTCCGTTCTAAATATGTCTGGTTTTTAAATAGCATATATATAATATCGTAAGTTACTGGGAATAATATCATGTAACCTTCCACTGTAAACATTTTTATTGATTTCATTAGGTAATTATAAGCAATTTTGGAGTCGTGGTGAAACCGGATGAAATGTATATTGGTTTTTGTGTACCTACACTTTTTTTTGGTCGTAGGTATAAAAAAAACATTCTCAAGTTTCATGTCACCTTTACAAACGGGAAACGTTGTATAATTGGAGCTTCAAATAGGTTATAATTTTATGATTGTAACTGTGTAAGGAAACACTATATGCTCGGAGTATATGTAATGAAAATATCGAAGAAATGAACCTAAGCTTTAAGTGTGGTTTTCACTGAGCTCCGTTCAGAATCGTTTTTCAATTGCAAGGTTTTTGTTTCGTTTTTTTTTTCTTATTAATTGCAACAAGCTAATAAATAACAAGGCAAATGCTAGGTACCGTGCACAGAGCGAAACGAGACAAGTGGATTTTTTTTGTATCCCTTTGCAGCGTGTACCTTAAGATCTACTAAGGTATTGCATCAATGAGTAAAGTTTCTTAATGCCCTACAGATATTTTTCTTTAAACAGTGGAATAATGTGTTTGTGTGTACAATTACTTACATATTTAGTTATTATATACTGTATGCAGTCTGCACAGAGTTTTATATTATCATACTTTTTTGTCTTCTGCAGCAGTTACACTTTACTCAAATAATATAGACTAGTCATAAACTGATAATATTACCTAACATTAATATTGTTCAACAGAATTTTTATAAATATCTGAAAATAATCAAGTAAAATAATAGTATTTTCTTTCACTCCACAAAATTGGTTAGCTATTTAAAAACAAATTGTTGATTAATAGAATTTCATAGTATAGTTAATAATATGGTTTCATAATGACTGATGATACCATAATATAGTTTTATTATGATTTTTTTTTTAATTATAGAGGTGGTTGTTAATTGTATTTGATAAAAACGTTTTTATTATTCAACAACAATAAAATACTGATTTGAAAAAATGGGTAAGTTATTTACGAGTATTTTGAAATTTGAAGGTGACACAATATTATAGATATTTTATACATATTAATAATTATTGTATTAAATGACGTATGAAAAATCAAATTGTTTTCTATTCCTCCATAAAATATAATGTATAGCCAATGTTTATTATTATTTTGAATAATCTCTCAATTCGTTAGAACGGAAGTTATTTTATTTATGTATTTTTCAAAAACCAAAATATTATATATTTAAAACGGATTTATTGCACTCTTGGCTTTTATAGTTTTACCTATAGGTACTATTAAAATGTATTAACTCATACAATTGTATGTATACATCACTACAGGTATTTAATATATTTTTTACATCTTTAACTTCATATTTCTTTGTCTTGTTTAAAACTTTAATTATTTATCAATGCATTTGTGTTAGCTTAGCAATTTGTTTAATGCAATATGTTTTACTGTTATAGCATACGTTTATTATAGTTATATCCAATAATTATGATTTTCATAGGACTCTTATAGACCATAAAATCACTTAACTTTTATCACGAAAATCCCTTTCATCGCTTTGTCCTGTAATGATTAGCACAACTCCTTTTAAGTCTTAACAATACTCCATAAATGTTTGAAGATAATGTTTCATTGTTTTTATTCATCTATGTGATAATTATGACGACTCCTATTATTATATTATGTGACAAAAACAATGATACTCATTACTTCAACTACTAAAATAATAGGTAGTTATTAGCTAAGCTTTAAAACTATTTCATTCAATCGCCTGCTTATGTTGATCGTTGATTTTTCACGACTGTTTATAGCTAGTTAACACCAGAGAATGTGACAGTGCAGATATCCATGTTGGTGTATATTTAAAATATATAATTAAATAACAATATTGAATACATTTTATAAATCTATTTTAGAATTATATATATTCTAATCACCGTTTAAGTTAACACATAGTTTGTATTAATAAATATCCACCGTTTTTCAGCATCATTACAGGTACAAAATACATAAAAAAAACAAAATTATTACTGTTAATATTTTGCTTTAATGTTTTTAAGAACAAAGTATAATATTTTTGATTCAATTGTGACACATAGAATTACAATATTTTTGGAAATATTTTTGCAAAATAGTATTTATTATTTTGATATGATAATATAAACTAGTTAGTAATTTGTTATAATTATTATTGTTTTAGTTCAATGCTTTTGGGTAAAAGTAATCATTAATAGTATGCAGACTACAGAATCATTTCAAAAAGTGAATTATTAGACCGGACAACTTCAGTTTAGGTTTGTTTAATGCTAATAATTATTACTGATATCCTCTGTACACCTCACATTTCATTAAAACAAAAACGAAATGTCTTATTATATTATGTATTAACTATTAATATAACGGCTTTACTAATAACAAGCTTATAGGAAGGGGTGGAACGATCCTTGAGCCCATCACTTTCCACAAAATATTGTTTTGATCCACATATTCAAAATGAAAATAAAACAAAAATGTTCTTATCACATAAAATTACTTAATGATAAATTCACGAAAATTGATATTTGATAAAGTTTGTAAATTAGTGAAAATTGGAGTTGTGAACAATGTAGTAGGTATTATTATTGTGTAACTATTGAATTATATTAAATAATTAACATTATTAACATATTTAGTCATTTATTGATATAGCTGTAATAGGAATTAGGTATTAAAGACATACTCACACTTGAGGTAAAAATATTTTATTTTACCTAGTGTAAATATTTAGCTTAAAATATAATTTGTTGTTGAAGTGGCTGTTGCAACTTCGTTTAAATAATTTCTAAATGTGTGTAATACAGTATTACATAATTATTATTTTCATTTCATATCGCCATATGCCCATATCAAGGTACAATATTACAACATTTTACACAAAATATATAAAAAATAATGTAATATTAAGTATTTTTTGGAATTGCAAAAAAGATGTAGCTAGGAGTTTGAAAATTGAAAGAGGCACTCTAGTTTGTTGATATTCCGGGGTGAAAATAGATCTTTAATCCGGGTTTTATAAACAAAAGCTTTTAATATTTGTATTGTTTTATATTTTTTTGTATAAAAACAAAATATGTCTTACCTTGCTTTCATCTTTTTAATCTTAACTGCTATTCATAGGAATTTCATTATTTTAGTGTAACGAATCATATAATAATATTATAGTATAGAGTACAGAAAACGGTAGCGACAATATTTAAATATTTTTCAAGCCCGAGGGCCCTGATTATTGCTGTATAACAGTACTATTACCTATTCATAGTGTATTTTACAGTCATTTTGATGAATGGATTATCTTTAATATATTCATCAGGTTGTAAATATAATTATATAGACTATAGACAACAGTTTTTAATAAGTATTTCTAAAAACAATCATTTTGAATAATAGGTATTGACAAATAAGTATTGTTGAGAACAGAATTAAATTATAATTTATTCATAATGTTCTTTCTATTTATCAAGCTTTTAATTTATTTTTCGATGTTATTGCATTTAACTAGATCCAGTGATCATGTTTAAACATATAAATTGTTATTATATTTCTAAATTTTTAGCACATGAACTATAAAATAAATAAATGCATAAAAAACATTTTTTATCTTTATTTTATATATTAGGCAATCTGTAAACTCAATATTTACAATAAACATGACTGCAGTTATAATGTGATGTGACATTATTACTTGATATACACGAAAAAGATCAGCCCCCTAATCACAATACATTTAAAATTAAATCTAAATTATACATGAGTGATTTATAATAATACCTACTATTGTCGCAATATTCTTTGTGTAAGTACCTGCTAGTTCTAGTATATTTTATTCTAATTGCTTGTTCCAAGTCTGAAAATGTACCTTTCATCTTTGATTCAAAAGCGTTCGTATTCTTAAATCCATTGTGTTCAGTGTCGTTTCAAATTTATTGTTAGGGTTTCGAGCATTTGTAAAGCTGTATAATATATATAGGCGTATGTCTGCAGTATTATTTTAACATTTTATTTACTTGAATATTTTAAATTGCACAATGGGAATATATTTTATTTAAACTAATAATATTATTCATGTTGTATTAAAACACATAATATTCCAATTATATTATGATAATAAAAGTTGGTATTGCAGTTGATTACACGGTCAATGTTATTAGGTACTTATTTTATATTATGTTGTATCGCGGGGGAGTACGTATTTATAATCAAGTGTGAGATGACTTTCAAATGTCCTTTATGTTATATTATATATGTATCCATATAGAAACTGTTATTAATGAATTTAAATTAATCAATTAATAGATTTAGGTGCTATATGGTCTTGGTGAGAGGAATGTTTGAAGAATGGCTCAAACGATGTCGCGAATCTCGCCAACTCGTAGTGGTGATCGTAGCTATAGCTTTACTCCTGGACAATATGCTTCTAACTACTGTGGGTAAGTAATTCAATTGATACAATTCGTAATTGCCTAACTGAAGTAATACTATAATATGTACTATAATAATCAGGCCCGTAGCAAAGCCATTTTCGCTGAGACGACCATCCTTCTCATTATAGACAGACCAGTTATTTTTTTAATAAAAACCTTCAAGTATACAACCATAATATTATATGAATAAATAAATGTATCGGGTGCAATATTGTAACCCTATAAAATAAGTAAATTTATCAGCCAAAATCTACGGATTTCACGTCGTACGACGTTAAATTAGATTGATATTCTGGTGAATATTTAATCAGTTCTCAACTTTAAATTTCATACTCTTCTTAACCTCAACCGTATACTATAAAATAGATTACATATTATGTTTTAACAAATTAATTATTAATAAGCGAGTATCGACGTATCGACCAATCATGGCCCGCTGCAATAAATCCAGTTTTCCTGTTACTGCAATAAAGTATATATACTCTTCTACATTAAACTGTATTTAAACCTAATTAGACATTAGTAGGAAATTACAACTATCTACTATATAATAAGAACATGTCGCTAATCTAAAATATATAACTACTTATTATGGATAGGACGTATGGTTACACGTATAGCCAATATACGTAACTACTAAAACCGCATTTCAATAACTAATATTTTTTTAGTCCCCATAATACCGGAGTTCCTTTACGACATCCAGCACCCCGATCAACCACTAACTGCTACATTTTCATCAATCCCGCCGAATGAATATCCAGTGCCCCATGGAGCCATGACAGGTAATTTAAGTACGTCAGTTTTATTATCATATTCAATGTACCTAAAATTGTTGCCGTAAAAACTACATGTAGCGCCGTGTCGCGTTCGTACACGGATAAAAATCATAATATTTTGTACAATGTACATAGGTAAATAGGTACGTAAATACGTGTGATACACTTATATAGTTGTGTCTTATGTATATAATAGCTAGTGTTACATAATTACACAATTTATGTAAGTAACGTATACCATGTCAATATATTATGATGTAGGGTTTCTAACTAAGATTCACTATACTAAATTGATGGAAGCAAGAGAACCTTAAATATACTGTTATAATATTATAATGTTTAACCCATTGGCTCGTCGAGGCAAAATAATTAACATTTAACGCACGAGGATCACTCTGCGAATTGTTTGCATACAAAGTATACACGTGTATATATAATGATCAATCATAATAACAATATTCAAAACTGCGGATAATTATTATCGAATTGGAAATTCGATATTAAATTAATTTAGGTTAAGTTACATATCGGATTGGTCATTTTTTCTTTTTCTATAATTATATTAGTATATACGAGTAGTTACCTATATAATATCGATGGCGTAGCGCACAAGTGTGATAAGTGACATTTTCGTAATTGTTCAGGAGAACGATTTTTAAGTTTGAGATGTAATAACAAATTCAAAAATGTAACGAACTGTACGACATCTATCGGAGTAAATAATGAACTATTCACTTACAACGTTTGGGCATAATGTGCAGAATTGTATGATTAAATTGATTATGCACTTAACTCATTTTTCAAAAAAATGTCACTTATCACACTTGTGCGCTACGCCATCGATATGTAATTCATTTCATTTCAAGACTCTGGGTTATATTTTAAATGATCTATTTCTCGATAATAGTTCAAAATCACTTATCGACAAACAATTGGTCAATAAAAAATATTTTGTTACGCTTAACGATTTTTACGGATGATGTATCGATAGTAATATGATGATGTTTCATCTTAATAATGTGTAAACCGATTTTTTATTGTTGCCAACAAAGAATGTGTAGTTTGTCATTGAATTTAAACGATCTATATTGATATAGGCCACAGGTGGCATACTTTATATTTTACTATAGTGGTGGGAGTACAAATAATAGTAGGAATGACGTAAATAATGAGGAACAAATAAATTTTGTGAGTTCAGCAGCAGAACAAAAATAAAAATTATAATTGGTCTATCATGATATCATAAATTATGTTTTGGTGAATCATTAATATTTGTGGTTTTCTTTCAACGGATTTTTACATCCAACACACATTCTAAATAATATTTATAATGTCACAAAAGTTTTTTGAAATGTTTATTATTTAAAATGTACAACAATAATTGATAATTGCTATTTAATTATGCTTACAACTTTTAATTATAATTTACATTGTGTATTATTAGGAATGCAATAAAAAATATAAATTAAAGGTACCTACCGTTTTAGTTTATTTATTTTTAACAACACTCTTATTATACATACATGATATAGGTACATACCATACATTTAAGTATAATATATAGTGCATTTATACAGAAGGGCCCCCAAAAATGTTATTTAAAAAAAGTGCTAATAAACAGGTAGTGCAAAATATTTTATTTTTTTAAAGGTGGGTACACATTTAAGTTAACTACATAGTTTTAGTAATTATTTATAATTCTAAAAAATCATATAAATAATACTTTATAATATTATACAACTTAATATATTTCAATGTGATTCAAGTTGTGTAATTGATTTTATTTATATCATAATTTTTGATAAAATGATAATACTACTATAATAGTATTATAATTTTTAATGATATAATATATAATGACATTCAATATCCAATATTCATAGTACTATCGGAGACCCTGTACAAAAATATGGCCGGGGGGCCCCCGGACGCGTTCGTGGCCTAGCGGCTATGGCCAGATCGACACTCATATATACTCAGGGGGGGACGGTTATATAGATACAGGAACATTTTTAACAAAATATTTCATCGACTCCCAAAATTGAAAATACTAAATTAATTTTTATATCACTATGCTGATTAGTAAGAGCATCATTTCATTGTACAGGGTAGGTATACCATCATAATGATTTATACGTCAACCTTTATATTTATATTAAAAATTGGTATATAAAAGATGTGGTTTTATTCAGAGTGATTCACCATGCATGCCCTCAGCATTTTTTTCATTAAAAATAAATTTATTTAATTTCTGATTTTTGGAATATGTAAGTATAGGACACAATAAGTACCTACTCAAAGGCCGTATTTTCAAATTCGTGAATTTGTTTTTACTACTTAAGGAATGTTCTGTGCAGAAAAAAGATTCTATTTATCAAATGTACCCCTCCCCCCTTTTTACTGTAATTTATTTAGTGAATATTATTTTGAAAATGTTGATGTAACTAATTCAAAATTTGAACCAAGTTTCTCAGTTATTAAAATGTACCTATATACTAAGGATATTATAGCATTTAAAAATAGATTTTCAAAAATATAAAGTACCTGGATGTAATATTGGATCTAATATTTATTATACTTGGACTATTTTTACAAATTATTAATGTTAATACATTAATATTAATCTCTAAAATATTCAAATCATCATAGTCTCCATAATATTTTCCAAATCAATTATTATATGGATCTATTATCTTTTATCCTTAGTACAAAATGATTGATACCTAACTCGGCTAACTCAAAAATTGATCATTCAAATTTTGATTCTGATACCTACGTAATACATTTCAGAAAAATGATTCACTTAATAATTTACAGTAGATACTGGAAAAAAAGATTCTCATTTGAAAAACAGAAGTTTGTACCTCCACAGGACATTCCTTAATTACCTAGTTCAAAAAATGTCAAAAATTAAAAAAATTAGGTCTTTAAGTAGGTATATTGAATTATAAAGGGGTAACTATGCTTGGTGAATTATCTTGCATACATTATTTATTTATGTATTCAAATATATTTTGTTATTTATTCGTTAAAAATATAATGATACCTTTTACCTAATATTATTTGTACTACCATAATATTATTATGAATAAGCCAAACAGTGTCGAAGTAAAACAAAAATTCAAACACAAAAGCACAATTCTATATAACATATTACATAATATACATGGCGTGTTTTTTTTCTTAAAAACAATACTCGAGATAATTGTTCCAACGAATCTGTATAAAGCCAAAACACGTGTGTATATAATTACTGTTGTCTTATAACAAAACCTTAGCGAACGGGACAGTGCCGACCTGGGAACAACGAGAAGCGACTCTCAAAAAGGAAAGGCACGACGATCTGGTTCACGAAACGGTTGCAGTTGGTATGATGTTTGCGTCCAAAGCGGTCGTGCAGCTAATGGTTAACCCCATTGTCGGACCTCTCACCCACAGAATCGGCTATAGCATACCTATGTTCACTGGATTTTTCATCATGTTCATATCGACCATAAGTAAATACCCCTTTAGCGTCACGTCACGTCTGAGATTGTGTCTGACACACACCCATAGGCGCAAATAACGAATTAAATAAACTTGAGCCCTATAATTTTTTTTAAACAGGAAATCGACGTGGGTAGCTAGATAGTTTGCCCCTCGTACACCCACAGTAAATGCAGAATAATTATTTTACAATTTTATAATAAACTTTCTAGAAAAATATTTTAAGACTAAAAATACAACTGACTTCATCAATATTTATATATTTTTGAACGTTGAGTATACCTAAACCATCATTAAATCGATTTTACGACGTTATTTTTTACATAATATTCGTTTTAGGTTTCTGGATGGTGGACAATAATATTGTATACCTACGTATTCGTTTACATACCATATTATTCACTATTATTAATTCATACACTGCAGGATAATATTATTAATTATTTGAACTATGAACATGTTTTTATACAATTTCGTATTGAAAAGAAATACCTATACTTTTAATATATTATATTTGTTAGGTTAATACCAGTGCCTATACTATTCTCTATCTTATTTGCGCTTATGTACATATGTATTTATAGTATATTTATGATATAATATAACTTATAAGTATATTCTGTACTCACTTTTTTTAGTATTTGCTTTCGGACGGAGTTACGGGGTATTGTTTTTGGCTAGAGCATTGCAAGGGATCGGATCGTCTTGTTCGACTGTTTCTGGTAAATTAATGCACATTACACACACAACGACTAAATAGATGTGATAATTATAAAATAGTGCCAATGAAAAAAAATGTCTACAAACGCCCAATTACATAATATTATATGAACATCTTTTTTTTGTAGGAATGGGAATGTTAGCTGAACGGTACCCGGACGATAAAGAACGAGGAAACGCAATGGGTATTGCATTGGGTGGATTAGCTTTGGGCGTGTTAATCGGTCCACCGTTTGGAGGAATTATGTACGAGTTTGTGGGGAAAACTGCTCCGTTTTTAATACTCTCGGCCCTGGCACTAGGAGACGGATGTACGAAAAATTGAATATTAAGTTTAAAAAAAAATTAAAATTAAAATCATGTCTAAGGGTGATGATTTGCGGTTTATGACCTTAAACTATAAAGGTATTCGAGTAAGTAATTAAACCAAATAACACACTTTGCATACGTTTGGTCGTATATAAATCACAGTTGGATTGAGCATTGTATGAGACCGGTGGAGACAGTATACCTAGTGTAGGTACTATAGTATACCTATAGTATAGAGTCTATACTATAGACTATATAAACTATAATTAATCATTTTATTAAACGATATTGTTTAATAAATAATAATTCGCTAATATAATTTAATACTTAATGTTTCTTATTAAAACACATGGATGAGGTCGAGTATTACACATATAAACAGTATTTACATTGTTGTATTAAAGTACGTGGCCAGCTATTCGAACGATAAATATAGTATGACTTAAACTGATTTTTTTTTTTTTTAATATGCACACAATATTATTTTATTAATAGTTTAAGAAATCAGAAATATGTCTGTATCAGGACTGTAAGGAAGTAATTTAAATTGTATTTTTGTTTGTAGTTTGAATCGGGATAAGGTAACAACATTTTACGTTCCAACACTATTATTCTTGGATAATCTTGGTATAATATTTAAAATGTAATTTTTAACTCTCCCTTCTATGTCTGATTCTGGCTGGGCGAGGAACTGTTACAGTCTTAAAATTATGGATGGTGTATTCCAGACATTTTTTGAGACAGTAAAAGTGGCCTAAATTTGTTGTACGCAATCCTATTATCGATTAGAAAGTGAATACACCTACAGGCTACAAGTGGTATTTTAAAGAAGTAATTCGATAAACAATGAACTGCTATAAAAGGTGAAATGTCAAATCACTTTTTTTTAAGTTTTTAACATAACGTTTACTAATAGCACCAAACACGAATCTCAAATGGAAACCCTAGTATCCCACTATACCAGAGGTTTTTTTGGGACATAATATATAATATTATAAATTATAATATATCTGAATATAGAAATTACATATATTTATATATTTGCTCATTATTGTTTTTTTTTTTTATATTTTAGTGAAACATTTTGAAGGTGGACGAGTAGGTACAATATATTTTTGATTTCTGTTCAATTATTTGAGTTTTTGGCGCTACTAGCCACAATTTTGTGGCAAACCGATCTCTATTCAGAATTGTTATTTAAGTAAAATAATATTATATTATCGCTATAATGATATACAATTGAAAATAATAATATTGTGACTTTCACCGAGGTGAGTCAAGCGAGACGAGTGCCACAAATCCAGTGTCTGCAGTATCCTAGCTGTAACAACTTATTTGTTGTCCTTAATTAGCATTTAAAAATATAACTGCAGGCTTCACTCAAGTCAACCACCAGCTACCTCGTCTATGCCATAAGCAGACGTCGGTTAATTGATTTCTGCCATTTTCATTTTAATCGCATTTAGTAAAAGCGAATAGCTCCATCTATTTTCGTATCATGCGGAGTTCCAACACATTTTTTTCACAACTCGCTGTAATTCAATAGGTATAATAATAATAGCATAAGCGAAAATTGAAAATTCAAAAATGCGACATAACATATTTGCTTTATACTGTTAACAGTATATAATATTTTATGTAATATTTATGTATAAACACGTCTTATATTCACTAGCCGAAAATCTCAAACAAAACAAATTGGTCACGTACTTTATAATACACCTATTTATGAAAATGGGCACCTATAATACTCGTATATGTCTATTGTCTATTGTTTGCAGTAGATATCATACTGGACCACAGCCAAACACAATTAAAGTATGTATAATTATCTATAGATTATACATCTAGGTCAATATAATTTATCTACATGTCAGACCAGTGAAAGAATAATGTACAAATTTGTTGCCAACATGGTTGTTCATTATTTTATTAGTGATTAATAAAGTTAATTGATAATATAGGTACCTATACTGCCCATTTTATTTAGTCAACACAAATTTGTATTGTGATTAAAGCGATTATTTAAATTAAATGTTAGGACTGTACAATAATTAATAACTAATATTGATCTTAAAACACTTTTTATTATTTTAATTTTTTGGAAAATCTAATTAATACTGAAGAGAACCAAATTATTTAAATTTAATTCCTTTATACTGTGCGTTTTGAAAACATAATTGGTTTATCTTTCTTTTGAATAAACATTAATTACAATTTTCAAAGGGATATTTCGGAAAAAAATTAATTCTGAATTCTGATAATAATAATTTTTGTATAACGTCCCTTTGCATATAATTATAATACTGGAGTGCTGTTTGATGGGTCGCATATTGTACGTATTTCGAGGACCCTATATTTCCAGTATTATAATACCTTCCCAGGGTACAATTATAAATATAATAGCATCAAACATTCAAATTATTATGTTTTCACGTGGATTTTTAAGAGCTTAGTATTTATCATAAAAATGGACTGGTGGTGGAAATAATTTTCTTGTTTTACATTTTTCAACTGTAATCAAAATCTAAAAATGTGCCACTCTGCGAATAGGTACCTACAAAAAAGTTTATAATACGATTTTCACAAAATATATCATATTATTCTATTATGGTAAAGAAACATTACAATAAAACGTCTCAAATATTAAACCGATGACAAAAATCATCAGTGTAATCGAATTTTGTTGAGATACAAAATATAAAATGTAATATCCTAAATTTAGAATAATATAATTTTAATATAATCAACAGGGTTGGTATTTTATAGCACTTAAAATTGCAGAAATATGCGCTATAATATTACCTTAAATATCTGTAAATATGCCCTAGAAATATGCAATAAAAACAACTTATGCAAAAAAAAAGGAAATTTATTAATTAATATTTTTTTAATCACTTACAAATTATTATGGGTAGTTACTTAAGATTTTAAATAATTTAGTCACTCTGATCAGAATCCGAATGAATTGACTATACAACGCATTCAACGACCGTTCGTTGATAATCGGCGATTAATAATCGCAGTAGAAATCGACAAAATAACCCAACAAAATCAGCAGATAACAAAAATTAGAACCAAATACCTAATACGAAATTATTGTAATAATTTGATTGACAAAAATTTAAAACATGTTTACCAAAATATAATTTCATAAAATATGACCGATTTTGATTCACAAACAGGTAAAAATGCAAAAGTCCCAAAAAGGCCAAAAAAAGCAAATAAAATTTTTAGTTTAATTTCTCTGTATCACGAAACACATTTTTAGCTTACTCTGCTATTTTTTAAACATTTTTTAAGAAATATGTAAATGCCATAAAATCCCAACCCTGATAATCAACATACATTTTGATCTTTAATTTCTGATCTGGGTTGATCGATGTCTTTATATTATAACTTTATAACATTAATAGATAAATACCAATTAATATTTTTACTGGTTTTAATATAATATTATAGTAGACAGTATTATAGACGATATAGTTATCATTTTATAACTGCATGTATATTATTTTTACATAACTTACATTTTTTTATGAACAAAAAATTAAACAAAATGTTTAATTATTTGTGTCATGGTTTATATTAAATTTTAAATAGATGTGCTTAACACTTCACTGTATGTGTAGGTATTAAGACATAGATTTTATGTAATAGCACATTAACTTCATAACTGTTATTTTTTTGTAGTTATACTGTAAATTAATATCACTATTTATCTTAAAACATAGAGTATTTACATTTTATTATTCTACAAATAAGTCAATGTTTCTAAGCAATTGATTTTATTCAAAGTAAAATAAAGATTTAATATACTCCCAATAAACATTTTTAAATACACATTAAGAAAAAATATCAACGATATTCAATATTAAATCATATTAATAATTACGTAATTGTTGTCTTATCAAATGGATACAATTTTGCTTAGAAATATTTTTTTATTATTATTTATACTAATTTTTTTATTTGGTGGTATATTAGGTTCCTACATAACAGAAATATTAAACCGATTACTAATTAGTAATTCTGTGTACCTAAATATAATTAATAATATAGGTACATACTGTCTTCATTGGTCTTATATAATACTGGTTTGTATTCCATATTTGCACAATATTTATTTCATTAATTTTTTTTTTTAAATTTCGTTTAGACATTGTATTTAATTGTTTAATAAAAATTGTTTTTATAACTTACATAATATATTATGAAATACAACATTTTATTAAATATTTAAACGTGTGATTAATTATTCTATAGTGCTACAACTACTGCTTTTACAACCGGGAGTAGTCACAACTGATGCTGATCCCCCTTCCTTAAAATCCTTGGTGATGGACCCCTATATAATAATAGCTGCAGGTAATATTAAAAAAAAAAAACATTTAGAAAAAAAAAAAAAATTAACAACAAAAACAATTTATTTTCTAAGGCGCTATTACTTTTGCTAATACGGGAATCGCTATGCTTGAGCCTTCTTTACCTATATGGATGATGGACACTATGGGTGCTGGAAGATGGAAACAGGGAGTAACATTTTTGCCGGCGAGTATTTCTTATTTGATCGGAACAAATTTGTTTGGACCTCTCGGACACCGTATGGGAAGGTATTTATAGTGATGATGCTAGTTGATCGCAATAAATTGACCATGACGGTGTCTGTAACGACTGTATTTACAGATGGTTAGCTGCGATGATTGGATTGATCGTCATTGGGATTTGTTTGATGATAGTAAGATGCAATTTTGATTTTTTTTTAATCTATAAAAAAAATGATTTTACACCCATACCTATATATTTTATTCCGAGACGGTGTGAGTACCTATATTATTATTCCAAACAGATACCAACTGCGAGAGACATAAATCACTTGATCGTACCGAACGCTGGTCTGGGTTTTGCTATTGGTATGGTGGATTCGTCAATGATGCCCGAGCTTGGCTATTTGGTTGATATACGTCATACAGCTGTATATGGTAGTGTTTATGCGATTGGAGACGTGGCGTTTTGTCTGGGTTATACAATCGGTAAGTATTGCTAAATAATTTGATTATCGAGTTAAATATCATTCATATATTTATAAATGTATGTCTAAATTACATTTTTATACATTATACCTATCTTGCGATTGTCGTCGTACATTCCCACTCCACTCCCGTCTTTTATTTATAGGGCACTTCTTTACATACACAGCATTCCAATATACGTATTTTTAAAACTCGCATTAGGTACGTATACTCTATATATGATTACAAATGGCAATGAATTATTCGACTTTTAAAATATCATTTACCTTTTCAGGCCTATACGTCAGATATATTGGTTTTTCAGTATTATTTTTATTTTAAGTTTAAATATAGGTACCTATATTACCTAGGTACCGAAAAATAATTAAAAACTATAAAGCATTTATTTTTAATACATTTATAGTTTTCGTTAATAGACATTTATTGAATACCTACGTGTTTAAATTTTAAGAGGAAAATCACGGAATATGTCCTTTTGGAATGCAATTTTATATTAATAAGTTATCTGTTTTTATCACATGATAAATATTATAGGTAGATAGGTAGGTACTTCTTCAGTAAGCAATCAGACTACAATTTTTTCTCATATATTTCCTGGTAATAAACCAATAACCAATATACGGATATATACGTCTAACAGGTTACTTGATTCGAGATTACATTAAGCAATCGTAATGTCAATATAATTTATATTTCTTTTTTTATAAACATGCATCAACAAATTCATCACGAATGTACCTACGCCTCGTAAAATAAGTGTATTGTATATTGTAGTCATAAACTGACGTTAGTATTATACCTTATAATTCATAAATAATCTATAGAATAGTATGTTAATATAAAAATCAAAACTAATAAATTAACTATTGTTCAGTTTAATATACTATTCAAATTTTAAATATAATAATAATATATTATCTAGTATACTCATTTTGACTGGTTTTAAAATTATTATTTATTACACACAACTATCGATATTACGAGTACACAGTAAACTTATTTAATAAAATGTATAGGTATAACTGTTTGACTATTAAAGTTATAAAAGGGAAAAATTTCATTAATTTTTGAAATCAAATTTTAAAGACAAATAAGTAAAACGGATGTCCACTCAGCTTTCCAGTGTTTGGTATAAAATATTATATATTTTTCTGCAGGCATCCTATAAACACGGGTTTTATAGTTTTTTTTATATGAATTTCCGTTTCTATAGAATACCGTAATTCACTAGGATTAAATCAGACATAATCGGTTGCAGCCCTTATTGTTCATTGTTATGTCTTAATTCTTCACTCTATTGTCCTTGTTCGTCGCTCCCCAGTTGATGTTAGCAATTTTCAAACACAGCACACCCTTTGTCTCTCGATAACTATGACCTCAATGCTTTCCTTCCACATAATAATAGCATTGGTGTTGACCAAAGCTCTTGCAGTATACTTGATTTAAATTCTTCGGCACTGCAGGTCATTACTACAGCAGTACAACAGTAGAATGGTAAATTGTATTTTAAAAATATAAACTCTTTTTCTACAGCTCCGTCTCAGATGTATTTCAATTTGAAATACACCTATGTTGATAAAAAAAATATAAAGGCCACGTTACAAATATTATATAACTACTTGAATAAGATGTCATGTTTGTGTGTGTGTTTATTATTAAATTAGTTGATAATATTCAATTTGAAAAATTCGTTCATGAAAATTATTGAAAATTCAATGTGTTTTCACCAGGACCGGCTTTAAGCGGAACATTGGTGAACACAATTGGATTTGAATGGATGTTATTTGGAACGGCTATGTTGAATTTTTTGTACGCACCACTTCTCTACTTCCTGCGCAGCCCACCGACAAAAGAAGAAAAAAAAGTAAAGTGTTCTGAAATTTCAGATGGTCAAATGAACGAATAATATTCAATTTTTAGTTTCTCAAAGAAATAATATACAGACTATGGTGTTATTATAAACATATTTATACCTATTGCCTATGCATTAATCGCAGTGGGTTCGACTATTTACAAAAAATATTTATGTACTTTTAATAGATAAACTTACCGAGAATATTTATTGTACATTTATGGTTATTTTATAAAGATATTTTTTTGTGTCTACATTGGATAAAAGTATAAAAGGTATATACTTTTTAACTGTGGTATAACTCAGTATACAAAAGTAGGGATAATGATATAGATAAGTGCCTGATTAACAATAATTGTTGAAGATCTTCGGATCATATTAAGTTAGTAAAATTATTTACATTTTGATAACATTCCTACATGAAACAAGGATAAATATTTGTAATTTGAAGATTTTTTAACACGTTCCTAATGTTTTTTTGTTTATGAATTTACTATCGATATAGATAAGTTTCAAAATAAATGATAAAATGTATTGTTATAGGTGTCATAAGTAAAATAATTTATAAAAGAGTAAAAATAAAATATTTTTTGTTAAACTATTTTTATTCAGTAATTATAATTACAGAAAAATATTTGTCCAATGATCGTGGGTAAGTCGAAGTTGTCAAACAAACATTTTTATAAAACTTAACTAAAAAATACTAAAAACAATAATAATATTAAACCTTTAAAAAAGCTTTTAACTAACAATATACCATATTCTTTAAATGGATTATTTGGGTTACCTACTATTTTGTTGACACCATAAAAAATATTTCTATAAATTAAGGTGTTTAAATGCTTTCAAGTAACAAAACAAAGTTATTCTATGATCATAATCATTAAAAACAATTACAACCTTTTATTGGCTATTTAATAACTTTTGCATGTAGATTTGTGAATAGAAATATTATAAAAACAATTTAAATTAGAATTTTCACAAAAGTTTTTAGACAAATAAGTGCAGTTGGCATTTAGTAATACTTTCATTTAGTTAATACTTTCGTCCTAAATGGCTAAATGGCTAAATACTAAATAGTATACAATAACGATTTTTTCCAAAATACTAACACTATAATATTTATTTTAAATATCATAAATTATAAACATTTATTATGGTTACACTTTAAACAAAAAAAATACAAACACGAGAAAAATAATCACATGTTTAGCACTAATATTATTTTAAGATGGCTTTTATTTTTTTTGTCCATTAACCACATTTACATTTAACATGCTGCAGTCTGCAATAATAGGTCCAAGACGATTTACTAATTGCATGTGACTTTATATATTTTTCAGTCTTTGGTCACCGGAGAAAAATCATCGGTGCGTTATATAACCTATCAAAACGAAGCGGAAGAAGAATAATGTGCATTATTAGCTTCGTGATATATAACTAATGCTTGATAAATTACGCTTTTTCATTTTTTTCTCGGCAAACATACTTTAATAATTGAGATCACAGCTACGTCATCAGCACGTCACCATAACAAATATTATACAATACATACTATTATACTACAGTTAATAGTTATGATAACTTAAAACATAAAACACTTTATAGATCAAACATTTACAATTCGGTGGTCCAATTCGAAAAGATATTAATCACAAAAAGTAATCACATTATACTTAGGCATATATAGCTGCTTTATCTATATAATATACATAATTATATATATACCTATTCATAATCGAATTGGGCCACCGATACAACTAGACCATAATATTGATCTTGCCCGTACGTAAATGCAAAAAAAAAAATACCAAAACAAATCATAATATGCAAAAATTAACTACGCATATAATATTATTAACAATATTAACTAAAATAACCGATACATGTATATTATCATATACATTTGATGACAAACCATACATTATACAATCGACTTTGCAACTTATTAAACGTGGTTTAATTATAAATAACACTATATATGAATATTTTCTTATACCTATATATATTATATTATACTTAAATTATATTATTAAATCGTATTATTATGCGTACGCATTTTATTGCTCACCATTTACATCATCATTGAGCATCAGAACATTTTGTTGATTAAGACTGTTTTATAATAATAAATAAATATATTAATCGTGTTTTCTTTATATATATAATAATAAAGTGTCAGACCAAACTAAATTATGCCACTTGTATTTATTTATCACGTGGATCACGTGGAGGTTGTACCTGTACCTAATATACCTATCTACATATTAAAATCGCATTATGATCGCATCTGACTTACTAGTAAATATTGTTTTCAGTGCAAAACAATCGATAAAAGAATAAAGTACCTATATGTACCTATATACCCAGTATTTACTCAGTTCATATGATGAAGATGAATTAAAGAGTTTGACAATAACTACTATATATGGCAGGAATATAATTACGTGAACCAGATTAATTATTACTTAAGTATTTCATTATTTAAATATAATATAATGATTTTTTTGGTAAACAAACTCAGTCAGAGACTTAATTCTAATTTAAAGACACCTGTTCCACCTTTCCGAGTGCCCCATCCAACTTCCGTTTTTCACTCAACAAATTATGGGAGGTATTGAAACTAATTCAGTTGCGAGTCGCGCTTTTTATAACAGCAGTGGGATGTATGAAATACACTATTCATTCATATAATATTGTTTACCCGATAAGTAATAATATAATATATTAATATGTACATTTTAAGTATAAAAATTATTTTTACATACAATTAAAAAACATGCGAAAAATGTTGTGAAAAATTATAACACATAAACTTACATTTAATGTATTAGGTAGGTGTACTATAAGGCCGATCGCACACCAAAAGAGCAAAACTGCGTTAGACAGTGTTAGTCAGCCTAACACAGTTTTGTTAAAAATAGAACATAGGAAATTACGTTGCATACGCACATTAATAAGACATAGTCAAAACAAAACGTTTTTGCTTTAAATCACAATTAGTCATGACTGATACTGTCTGAGTGTCCACATTTTTCGTTAGTCACAACTAGACAAGAAAGAATATTATTCGTGTGTATTTTGTATTTTGTTTATATTTTTTATATACTTATCACATAATGGCTTGTGATGGAGAAATACTAGTAAGTTTAGTGGAAATAAGACCATCCATTTATGATTTTGGAGACAAGGACCATAGCAATCGAATTGTGCAAGACAAGTTATGGGAAGAAATAAGTAAAGAAATGAATGTTGATGGTAATTTGAATATATTAGTTATAAAGTATTATTATTTATTATAAAGTATTATTAAGTTATTAAGTTATTGAATCATTATTATTACATAAGAAATTACAAATTGTATACTTGTACGGAGTTGAAAACATTGAAAACAGCATTACTTATTTAAAACAACATAACTGTCGTTAAAAATGTGTACTGTCAACGTTTCACAACACAACAGTATTTTTTTTATTTAAAAAAATTATTTATTTAAAACAAACAATTTTAGCTTAGGTATTTAAACAGTATATACATTTTGCCATGGAGCTGATCCTTTTTCAGAGTTGAAATATTTCATAAACTTTTCACGAATATCTATAGCATCTCTTGGTGGTCTGCGATTTGTAGGTTTGTTGATGATGTCTTGTTGGTTTACCCGTGATGAGGTTGTTTCCATTTCATTATGAATGTCAGTTAGATTATGTTCTTTTTCCATAATTAAATTGTGAAGTACACAAGCAGCTTGAGTTATGATTGTAGCTTTCTCCGGATTAACTAACATTTTATTTTCAAATACGTTAAATCGTTTTGTTAGAATACCAAAAGCACACTCTACTATTCTTCTCGCTCGTGATTGACGATAGTTATAAATTCGCTTCGGATTTGTCAATTGTTTTCTTGCAAATGGCTTCATCAAATTTTTTTTTAACGGATACGCTTCATCCGCAACAAATACAAATGGGAATTCATCTTCGACTTCTTCATGAATTTTTCTCGGTGGAGGTAAAAGTAGTTTATTATTGTCCAATAGTTTTCCAAAATTTGATTCTTTTAAAATTCCTCCATCACTGTTACGACCGAAATCACCTACATCTATGAATATAAACTTTGCGTTGGCGTCAACTACTGCTTGAAGAATAATAGAGTGGTGTCCTTTATAATTGTAATAACTAGATCCTGAATTTGGTGGACATTGAATAGCTATATGTTTGCCATCTATGGCACCTACGCAGTTAGGAAAATTCCAAAATTTGTCAAATTCTTTTTCAATGTTCAACCAACCATCAGTCGAAGGTAGAGGCATAAACTGTGGCGATAGTATTTTCCATAATGCACAACACGTATCATTGACAATTTTACCTGCAGTGGTAGCTCCTAATCTAAGACTATAATGGATGCGTTGAAAATGTTCACCAGAAGCCAAAAAACTAAAAAATAAATGTTTAAATAAATTACCAACTTTTAACTTTTTTTTACATGAACCATTATAAATTCTTAATTAAACGAAGTATGTATTAGTTTTAAAAAAAAATTAATAGTAGGTATGTCGAATATTGAAATGTACATAATTTTATATGTATAAATTGTTATTAATCATAATTGTAAACATATTCTTTGTAAGCCATTGAATGATTATTTTGTGAAATGTTTGTATTGGTTTTTTTAGTGTCGGTATGCAAAAGTAAGTGGACTAGTCTTCGTAATTAATTTGCAAGGGAACTTCGTGAACTCAAAAATAAAAAATCTGGGTCAGCTGGTTCTAAAAAAAGAAAATGGTACCTTTTTGATAGTATGAGTTTTTTAACTGGTTTTATGATGCAGCATAAAAAAATGGGTAGCAACATTGATAACGATTATATAAACGAATCCGAAGAAATCGTAGAGTCTGAAGAAGATGATACATTAGTAGTAGGAAAAACAGGAGATAATATAGTAGATAATACAGTAATGGAGAGTGAACGAGACATTATTGAACCAATGTTTAAAAAACCAAAATTAACTTTACGTAATAATGCATATAAAACAACAGCAAGTGATAAGGTAGCAGAACCGATGATAGAATTTTTGAAATCAAGAACTACAAAGCCAGCACCAGTTGAGGAACCTCCAGAATTGTTATTTTTTAAAAGCCTTATTCCAGACTATAAAAAACTTAATGATAAAAATCAAAGGAAATTCAAAAATTTAGTTATGTCGTCTTTAAATAGTTATCTTGATGAACAAGAAGACAGTAATCAAATAGCTTCATTTCAAAACAATATAAATAATATGTATCCCAGACCAGTTGAACATCAGAGTAATCATTTATATCAAGCCAGACCTATCATGGACCAAAATATGATTTTTATAGCAGGACAAAACACAGATCAACAAATTAATCAAAACCAAAATGTAAACAATTACTACAGTGATTTTGCTTCGGATTTATCTTCGTCTTCACAAGGAAGTAACAATTCATTCAAATGATATTTTTTTTTAATTTATAAGTTAAAATAATAATATAAACAAATTTAAAACATAATTAACTACAAAAAAGATTTATAAGTTTAAGTTTACTTTGTTAACTATTTAAAAAAATGTATTATGATTAATTTTATATTAATTAAAAAATAAAAATGATTAAAAAAACAATTAGGTTTCTTACCTCAGTGTAACCAAAAGCCTTTCCTCAGGAGAAATACTTTTTCTAAAATTTGTATCTTCTTTCCTTATTTCTTCTCCTATTTCTTGCAGTATAAAATCAAATGTAACACTACTTACACGTGTATAATTTTTAAATTTACTTTCGTCTGAACGTAGTTCGCATAATAAAGTTAAAATTACATTATGAGTGATACGTTTTTTATTTAACGGATGAATCCATAACTTTTTTTTTTTATGATTCTGTTCTAAATTTTGTAATGTGTACCACATGCAAATCGCTACATCTTCATCAGATGACATGATGACAACTGATTTTTGTTTTGTCTAATGGTGTTTTGTCTAGGTAGTGTGCATTTTATAAAAACAAATTGTTTTTAGTTGACTATGACGAAAATGACGAACACTGTCTAACGCAGTTTTGCTCTTTTGGTGTGCGATCGGCCTAACGTGAAAACGTAACCTTGATTTGTTACTAAAAATATAATTTCGATAGAGGTGTCGATGGCGCGTCGTGTACTCCAGCACCAGACCACCTTAAACTTTTTTTTATTTTAACTTGGTTGTACTTATGTCGAACAAATGCTGTCAGTGGTCATATTATGTACAAACAGTTACATAATAGTGGCCTACTAAATCTTACATATCGAAATGTATCACTTTACCATAGTATATTATGGGCTAAGCGTAGTGTGGATGGTGGTGTACAAGTACAATTCCACTACTCTCTATCGTGCACTCTCTATTTCCGAATTATAATATCCCTAACTTCTCCTGCAGGTCCTCCTTTATTCTATGTAATATTCACCTCAAAATAATATTAGTGGGTGGATATATTGGTAGAAGGAAATTATCGATAGATATATAAGCATATAACAATATTATAAGGTTCAATGGCGTAGACAGGAATTTCTATTATGGGCCTATATATTCATTATTTCTAAGATAAATCGCAGGGTAGTGCCCCTCGCAATAATATTATATTTAAAAAAGGTCATGGGGGATAAAACACCCCCATGAATACACGCCCATGGGTGGTCACTTAAAATTATTTGATCAACACAAATTTTTGATACATGCCACTAGACGTCCATATTATCTCGTCTCAGTTGGGGTCCGCGGCTTGGTTGCCGCTTTTACGTTCGCCGAGTCTGGTATCCTCATCACAAGTCCAAACTATCTAACTACCTATACAATAGTATACATGTAACCTTTAATTTTCCAATAGTGTTTTATGTATTTTTTGTTGTATACTTATTTTTAAAGAACTAATTAAAGAATTTTTTGTATAATAAATAAATAAATAAATAGACTATCAGTGCTTTCATAAAATTAGTCATCTTTGGTACTATTACAATTTACAACTGCATCCCAGTTTATTGTCACATAATGAGCTGCAGCCTGCAGATAATTCTCAGTATTTTATTCTCGAGCGACATATTCTGTGTTTGCTCCAATCGATTTGTTAAACTCCGTATCTACTTCAACTCAAGTGGGGTTATGAATTTTCCATCACTTTCCAACATGTTAAATGTACAATGCCAATGGTTTGCAAAATCAAATGTATAAAGTTATCAACATATTATACAATATTTGAAATTTTGAACCGTTAATACAGAATTACTTGTTATTTGTGTTCTAAATGAATTCACTTTGATTTTATGTTTCAATGTAGCATCATTACTTTCAGTTTACTAACAAACCATCTTAGACAAATATATTCATCATAAAGTGTAAACTGTAATTTAACTATATAATATGTAAATATACCTTTGAATATAACTTTTCTTGCTCCAACATGTTGCTTAAAATATAAATAGGTAGGTACATATAACAGATATAATGTTAGATTCAATATACTGAGATATCACTAAGCCAAAAATTATACAATTGTTTAAAATATGTAAAAAAATATATGATTTAAGGCGCCCGGTGTCAAATGTAGTTTTGTACACGAAAATACGCTCTACGGGAATAATGATCGTGTTCTGTGGAAAAATTTGATCATTTTTTTCCAACTAATAGAGGGTACTCAGGCCTCAGGGTAGTATTCTACAGGCCGCATCGAGCTCCGTTTTTCAATATTTTAATCTCAAACTTTATAATATATCTTTAAAAATAATACAATTTTAAGCATTTCTTATAAATTATATAATACTTACCACTATTTTAAATAAACTAAAAAATCGGAGTTCGATGCGGCCTGTAGAAAGTCTTCTTCTTTAAGATAAAAAATAGTTATAAAATCCGACAATTCTACAAGGCCTGGGAGAGTTATTCAAGTGAAGTGATTTGCTTCGAAATAATACACCTTATAGGGTGCCCCTAAATAGGTGTCGGGTAGTAGAATAGTGAAAGAGTATTATAATTAAGGTGGCAACTAAAATATAAAATTCAAATTTCAAATTTTATATATAAATTTCTATACTTCTATAGGATTGCTGAAAATTTTAAAAACTGGTACCAGTCCGCTTAATTACGTAAGTAAACTCATTATACGTACCTAATTATGACAGATTGACTTAAATTCCATATAGGAAATGTGAATTGATTTGCAAAGCAATTATAAGCCAATATAAATTATTATTGCGCTATAGTTGTCAAAATTGAACATATAAATATTTATTATTTAAAAAAATCAAAAACGTACATTTTTACTAGTGTGCATATAAATAAAGTAATTTTATATTTTATAACAACATCGATGTAAAACCCTTTTTACTTTAGTCAGCTTAGTTTAAAAATAATAACTTTTAAAAGTTCCTATGTAGCTATACCTAATCCCAGTTCATCTCAATGACTATTTCTAAACAAAAAATATTATGTAAAACAGTAGTAAAATATTTTGATCATAAAAATGTATTGTAGTATCACGATTGTAATTTTAAACTTTAAAGTAAAAATATTGTTATGATAATAGGAAAAAAAGTTGCTCTGCTGTACAGTAGGTTACAAGTGGGTCACTGTATAATGGATGGTATTAAATTTGAATTCAATATGATATAATATCATTGTATAAGAAAAACGATTTTGAGCGGAGATTTTATGTCAGTCTAGGTATAACACATATTATATACATATCTATGGTATTAAAAAAAAATTGACCTACAATAGGTACCTATAATAAATTCCAAATTAATCATATCACAATATCCATTAGGTGCTTATAAGTTATAACGCGTTATACATCAATAACAAACCATGATACTATCATAGATATATAGTAGTATACTTTAGAAGTTTCCAGTACCTACCCACGAATAATAATATACAATCACAACAAAATAACTAAAATAGTTATTCTAGGTTTTTTATTATGTAATTTCTTCCAAATTTGAACTTAAAATGACTATAAAAATAAACTGTACTTCTGTATTTTTTAGATTTTTTGGTAACTGAATTAACTACTTACATGGAATCTTGTTTTAAATTTTAAATCCTTAAATATAAAAGTTGAACATTTTATAAATTTTTAACTACAAAATAATTAATCAATTTTAAATTTGATAAATTTTGTCAAAATTCAATCTTTAAAAACGTATAAAAAAAAAATTGTGCCTATATATTTTTAATATTTTTCAACTGATATTGTAACAATATAATATATAATATATTATCAGGAGCCTTGTATTAAATTTTTACACTTTTTGGCCCAACAAATAAAATTTTATTGATATTTATAGAAAAAAAAAATAAAAAAACTGACAATGCCCGTAAACAGCTCAAAGAGCGTCAAAATATTTTGAACATTTTATCAAGTATAAGAATTAATAATATAAACATTCAGTGAAATTTTCATGTATCTACAGTTATTCGTTTTTGAAATACAAAAAAATAAGAAAATCATTACATGAGAAAACGAGTGAATAACAAATTTTGTAAAAATATGAATTTAAAATGGTAATAAAAATTTAATTTGACTTTCTTATAGACATTTTTTTTTTTGATAAAGGTAGATAATCTTATAAGGTAAAACCTTAGATTTAAAAAAAAACATTTTTAAGAATTTTTAACTCAAAATAATTTGCTAATTTTCGTGATTTTACCATATTTTGTCAATTTTTGAACTTTAAATGCTTATTATAAAAAACCATGACTATGGATTTTTAATATTTTTCATCTGCCTTTAAAACAATATACTAGGAACCTTCTATTATATTTTCAAGATTTTTTAGAAAATAAACTAAGACAAAATGGAAACTGAAAATGTCCTTAAAGAGCTCAAAATAAGTCAAAAAATTTGGAAAATGTTATGGTGTATAGAAAATACTACTATAAACATTCAGTCAAAATTGCATTTACCTATGATCATTTGGTTAAGAGTTGCACCAAAAACCAAAATCGATTTTCTCGAAAACAGGTTTTGAGTAAAAATTCCCGTTTTTCCTTAATTTTTCTTTTGTTTTTCACGGCGCTTTTGAAAACTACTGGGAAATTTTGACTTTTGACCCCTTCAAAGTACCAACTAGATTCACTTTCCTATCAGAAAAGATACAGTTGAAGAAAATTCAAGCACTTTTACTGTCCTAAAAGGTGATGACAGACGCAAAAAAATAAAAAATAAAAAACACACATCATTGTAAAATCAATACATTCATCGTTCCACTCAAAATCTAAAATAAAAAAGAAAACCCACATCATTGTAAAATGAATACTTTCGTCGTTCCACTCAGAATCTAAAATAAGAAACGGGATGATATTATGATTATTATTATTATTTTGAAAACGATTTATTTTGCTAGAAAACAATATTTTAAACACGCCTAAAAATATATAACAATTTTGATTGAAATGGCAGTTGTGATGATCGTCGTTTGACATTAGTCAATTTTAAACGATTTTGGGGCGGTTATACAGGTTTGCCTCGGTATACCAGCTATTGCTGCAGTGTACCCGCTGGATGTTTTTGTATAGTGCAGGATATTATATACCGCGGTGGCAGTATATTATTATTACACCGGTGGTGTAGTGTCACTGTAGGCATACGCATATTATTAATAATGGCGTCGTCGTCACCATGTGACATGAATAACTAATAAATTCATTTATTATTTCTTCGCCCCTATATTATAATGTACCACGCGGTGTGTGTGCTTGCTATATGTAATGTCAGATGCGCGTTTCGGATGGCGCAAGTTCGGTTTATTGATCCTGCGTACACTATGCGATGATGCTGCAACCTTACCACGGTGGAAAGTGTTTTTCGCCTTATCATACGCACAACTACCGTATCCGAGTGCAGTGGTTAAGTATCGCACACCGACGTGGAACATTATTATTGTCGAACAAAAATGCGTGAATTCCAAAATATCGGTATGTCATCGTAATATCATTATTATTATGCAGTCACGTCGTCCGTTATACATTAGCGATTAATTGCCAATTAATTCGCTTGCGATTTATACGCACATTGATGTGCATGGTACAGGAGGTAGGTGTAATTACACTATTAACACTATATAATATATTGCCGATAATATTAATATATGTATCCACGAGATTATAATACAATTATGCGAAGCCTGGTGCTGTGTGATAAATGTAATTAGAAAAATTAATTGGAATTTCTACGTTGATTTTGTGTGGCTTTATACCTATATAAGTACGTATGTCTTGTAAAATCGTAGTCGTAAAACCCTGAATGTTCCCTCCAGGCTTTATTGTAAGGATTTTTTCCAACTGAACAAATAAAATATATATTACAGTAATAAGTGGGGGACTCTACACTAAATACATTATTTAAATTATATAAAAAAAATTTACACGAACAATTGTCAAACTGATTTTATTATGAATTATTGAGTAAACAATTGGTTATTAAACATAATAATAATAATATTTTTAAACATTTATGGATGAAAATTATTTTTTAAAATTGTCTGTTTTTGAATGCTTTTCGGCTTTATTATTTTCAATATCTTGTAAAACCCTTTTTAGACCTTGAGTTTGAGATGCTTCTGAACCAACTTTGTTCGCGTGCTTTAGGAGTATCTTTCACTCGGCGACATGTTTCATTAGTCCACGATAAAACCGCATTTCTTGGGTCCCATAAGGATAAAGGTGACATGTTGAAATGAACAAATAAATATTCATTCTCCGATAATTATTTTTAATCGATAATAATTTTGGCAAAGTAATTTTTGTTGCATTTCTCAAGTGCACATATTAGCTAAGCCAACTGCACATTTTATATTTCCTAATGCACAATTAGTGTCCTACTGCACCTTACAATAAAGCCTGGTTCCCTCTATGAGATTAGTTTAAATAAACATTCCTGTACCTAAGTATATTATATAATAATACATACATTGAGAAATATAGTTATATTTACTATTATATTTAAAATGTCCATCAATTGATGAGTAGATAACGAATTAGGAATTCAAATAATTCATTTCCGGTCTTGAGTTAACAATCTACTCTAGTATTGTATCATATTATGTTATATATAGGTAGTCAGCTGGTGGTATGTGCCCAGGTAGGTACATACCATTTAATATTACCTACTCTAAAACCACGATTTTTATGATAGGTTAACTGCTGTCAAGTAAATAGCATCGTTTGATTAAAAGAAAATTGTTTTTTTGCAGAAGAACCTATACGTTTATATGTTGTTACATGCGCATTGATGTGTTGCGAATTTGTTCTACGTAGGTACATAATTTATTTTCATAAAATATTTTCATCATGAGTTAACCAAATGTTCCTTAACTATTTCTTCATAAATATGATTTATATTTTATATTAATAATATCAATTTAATTTATATTGCAGTGGGTACCGAGGCAACACATACCTATGCTGTAGGGTACCTATAATTATAATAATTAATAGGTAGGTATACCTATTACCTATGCGATAAACATTTTTGTATTTTATACACATCGCCCAAACTATAATACGCGGTATACAAGATCGATAAACAACTTACTATTATACGAATTCAATTATCTATTTAACGCTAATTGTATGACATTTTTAGTTTGTAAGATCTGTTTTTTCGAATCATAAATAAAAACTAAGGATGTACTCTATATGTATATTAATTTTATAAATTTACGTATTTATAATTTACCTATATTTTTTTTTTTTTAAATAAAACCACTTTTCTCAAAAAAATACTATTATTAGAAAGAAGTGTTTGAGGAAAATAAATTATAGTATAGATACAAGTGTACAACTATACATACTATTATGACATAATACATTATAATCTACAGCTCATTATTTACCTATTTAATTATTTTAATTGTAGGTACTATTACGATGGTAATATTAACCAATTTAGATATTAATCAATCATTGATACATTGAGAATGAAGACAAAATTAGACAATATACCACGTGTAATATCTATAAAATAAATCTTTGTTATTTTTTCGAGCAGGGACGAATGTAAGCGGGTGAAAAGCCCCATCCCCCAGAGTTCACATTGAATACATAAACAATTCCACATGTTTTTAAAGAAATATTTAATGTAATAATTTAATTATAGGTACCACGATAACTAATTGAATACTAAATTGTTTTCTAAAAAACGGGCAAGTAGTTATGCTCCGTTATGCTGTAAAGTAGGTGTCGAGTGTACCTCATAATTGAGTATGTAAATGTAATGGGAAATGGGTGTGTTAAATTTGAATTTTTGATTAATATTAATTTAATACTATGAAAAATGATTCTGTGCGAAAACGGTTGAGCTAACTTTTTGGTAACCAATAACCATGAATACAAAATAATTATTTTAATAATAATATTACCATTTTAAAAAAAATGTTAGTAATTTCTCCCCCCCCCCATGGCACGCACCATACACAAATTATTTTAAAAAGTACTGGGAAATTTCTACTTTTGACCCCCAAAAGTATACAAACCTGATCTAATTTTCTACTAGAAACCTTCTTCAAAGTGGAAGGTAAAAGTATTATTATTCCTACTAGTAATAAATAAATAAATAAATAAAATAAAATAAACACATTATTTGTAAAACCAATATTCATTGATATGCTTAGAATCTAAAATGTATGTAAAAATAATAAAATCTATATTCAAACATTTGTATTTTATTGTACTTAAATCCAAGGCATTTTTAATTAATAATGCATATAGGTAGGTAGGTATACAAAAATTAGACAAATTAAAAATGATGGTGATAAATTTATATTTATTCATTTTTAGGTTCAGAGTGGAACGATGGTCGATGGATGTATATATTTTACAATGATGTTTGATTTTTTTTGTATTTATATAAATAGGTTGTTTAATAGACAAAATGCTTAAATCTTCTACTCCGAGAGTGGTTTTTGATAGAAAATTAAATCTAATTAAATCAATCAAAATTACTAATATTAAAATAAATTACAATAATAATATTAATAGCAATAAATGATACCAATAGGATAACGGCTGACAGACCGTCTCCCGATCATATGTAGTAATTTTTCGTATATGCAATGATTTATCATTGAATTCAAATTTGACACGTCCATTACTGCAGTGATCTACTCATTAACGAGTTACACTCGACCACTTTTTTTTGTTTATTGCCTATCCATATACTAGGTATATATTATTTTATATTGCACCGTCCATAAATTATAATTCAACAATAGGTGCAAGTAATGGATTCGTCATTCGATTTGACTTGACTATATAAAATTAAAAAATGTACACGATAAATATTAATTGTGTTTAGTACAATTAAATGAATCACCCCCTCCCTAGATCTTCACACCAGAACTGTCCCTGTCTACTAATCAGTCTATAATAATATATTTTTCAATTACATTTTCAGAAAAACACACCACTAATATTTGATAAAAATGCGTTCGGTGGCACTGACAGTATGGTTTTTTTTAAACGTCGTACTATTGGGCATGTGCGGATACATTTATCTACTTTGGCTACAATATTGGCGTCACATAAGCGTCAAAAACCAACAAACTCAAGAATTGACTTACACACAACAGCAGCCCTACGTCGAGTATTATGACGAAGGCGATTTCACAACGGCTCATCAGAAAAACGGAAATCCGTTAATGCGGATGAGTGAAGCGCTTCTAGACAAGTCGGAAAGAATCAGGCAGGTAACATAAATGTTGTACGGAATATTATTATAGTATACATAGACGTGTATTTAGAACTATTTCACAGATCTGTCAAAGAATAATCGTTTATGAAATGAACTGATATAAAATCAGTTCTCACTACTTAAAAAGAAATCAAAAAGTCATCTGTTAATTTAAATTTGAAGGCTTGGCTTCGGTTTGAGTGGTCAGACATGATGTGAACACGCCTATGTACACTACATAATATATATTATATTATAATTTATATGTTATTGTAGTATTTATATTTTATATACAAGTGGATGACATAAAAGATAATATGATATGGACAAATGGTGATTATCATGTACCAACAAGAAAACAATAAAGCAAAAACTGTATTATGGGTACTTAAGGGTATAATATGATATTATATTATATTATTATATTTATTATTTATGTAAATCAATTTTACTAAAAAATTAAATTGTGCGTGTAGGCGATAATTTGAAATTTAATCGAAATATATTAAACGAACTACGAAAGCGGTAAATGGTAATAAATTTTAACACGTTTTCAATTAAATATACATTTAAATGTTTGAATTTAAATTATAGTTTTTAATTAAAAGGGCGCAGCAGTAACGTAATAAAATTAACTATTCTGAACGAACGTAATTATATACATTTATTCACACGAACTTCCAGTATTTACATATTGCAGAATGCGTGGTACCTAATAGATGGGAAGAGCAATAGGCAATTTTACAAAAATAAATTTGAAAACTTTTACCAAATAGGATTGTTTTAAATTTTTAATGACTTTTATTTTAAATAGTATGAATTCCCATTTGAAGTGTATAAAGAATTTTTTTGTGAACATTCAACTGTGACACAGCTAGTAGAGTAATTATTACAGTTAACAATTTATAAGAATATTGGTATAGTAAGTTACTTCAGAATATTATCGAATAAACTATTTAACGATCCAAAAATGATTTTACTATAAACTACAAAAATTAACATTCATAATTATTGAACAAAATTCAAATTAGTTTTTTTTAAACTATATTGGATTAGTTTTATATCAAATAGGATACTCAATACTCGTAATTCTAGACAAAATATAAGTAAGACGTATCACATTTTTCAGGATTTGAATATGGTTGTAGAGTGACGTAGGTACTTATAATCTAATATTAAATTATTATGTCTTAAAATAATAAAATCTAAAAATTATCTAGCCATGAAGGTATTTTTGAAAGAGAACATCGCAATCTAAAATGTCAATAAATTTCCCAACATTTCAAAATAATTTGAAAAATCTATCACCATCAATATTATATATTATGTAATATAATTAATCACTTGTTCGTACTACTTGTAGTAAATGTCTATACTTATAAGAATCATTATTTTGGTAATTACAACGAAATAACAAAGCTCGAATTGAACGAAATCGCGGTTTTACCATTTTTAACCAATTATTCGGCACCTAGTCTTAAACCTAGTAGCACCTATATGTTTGTAGTAGGTACAATCCGTACTTATATATTGAAAAAGTCCAAAATTCGTGAAATTAGGTCTCAAAAGTATGAACTATAGTTCATTTTATGAACTATATCTATAATAATGTTTAATTAGTCGATTAACTTCTAATAGCAAAATAGAAAAAAAACAATAAAAATATTGTTCATGAGAAATTAATATTTTACTGATGGCGATTGAAATTAGATCTATCTAGATAAGACAATTTTACATGTAAGATGACCATTAGATAACTGGAACAATATAGTTATCTGGATAAGATAATATTCTAAGAGTATATTTTAACTAGATAATTATCTTTTGTTTAAATTGTAATCTAATGTAAACAGTGGTCATTAAAGTAATAAACGCTAAGCCCATTATATTTTATACGTCGTTACATTTGTCAAACAATAGCTCAGACTACGTAGTACGTACACACAATAGGTAACTAAAATATAGTTTAAGTAGGTATGTATAATACCACAATATACTCTAGAGTCTAGAAAATATAAAAATTATAATATATTTTCAAACCTTGCGTGTGTAAGTAATTAAACGTTTGTTGTAAAAGTACTATGATATAATATAATAAATTTATATATGTCATGCATTTATATCCGTATAAATTACTGACTTAATGTGTATACATATTATTACAGGTTATTTAATTTCAAAAATAAAATCATTGCCCGTCTAAGGCAGGTAATAATGAAGGAGAGTAGCAATTATGGGTCCGTTAAAAACGAGAACCCTTACAATGTTCCGTATAGACCGCAAGCACCGAATAACGTGAAAAGCGACTGGCCGTGTGATATGGCTTCCAGCGTGGAGAAATTTAGAACATTAGAAAAAAATGACATTGATCATATGTTGACCAAAAATATTCCGGATGTGCCACTATTTGACGATAATGAAGTATTCGGCACTTGTGCAATCATATCCAATGCGGCTACTCTTCGCAATTCAAATCTCGGATACTTTATAGGTGAAAATTCAACACAGTTTTTATTGAGCCATACATATATAGATACTGCATATAATAGACATCGAATTTGTTTTGTCATTAATAATTTATATTCACCACTCGTCTGAGTGTTTGAATAATAAATAACAATCGAGTGTGTCTAGTGCCCACTTATATTGCGTAATGAATATTGAATACCAATATTGAATACAGATAACAATGTTACTATATAATGATATATAATATTATATATCTATCTAATATCGTATTATTGAAGGCATCCATGTGAAAGGAATCTCAGAATAAAATTATGGGCTCATTAAACGTTATTTGAAAAGATACTTTTAAATGTGTACAATAAATTATAAACTTATAAAATAATTAAAGCATATTTCAAATAATTTTATCGAAATGTAACTAGGTAGGAACAATATTATAGTTAGATAACTTATAATACAATCATTTTTTTTTTACATTTTACTTATTGATATATCATTTTTTTATTCGAGGTCTCAACTCAATCATTGAGATTAATGAAAAATATTTTAAAATTTAACTCAAGTACCTACCATGACTTCAGTCTTCAAGACTAAAGAATATACAGATTATAAGAAATACCTAATATTCCAATAATATATTACTTATCATTTTTTTATCTTTCAAAAAAGATTTTAGTTAGTCAATAATTAATATCATAACATGCATAATATAATGTAACGTAAAAAAAGTATATAAAAGTTTAATTTTCGTGTTTTAGACCAACATGACTTGGTGTTACGGTTCAATAATGCTCCAACAAAAGGATATGAAAAAGATGTGGGCTCAAAGACAACAATACGTATTTTAAACTCACAAGTTGTCACTAAACCACAATTCCAATTTGTATCATCACCATTATACAAGCGGCTCAAACTTTTGATGTGGGATCCATCAAATTACACATCGTCAATTAACGAAGTAATCAATCACAAATTATATAATATTATATATTATGTTGGTTTAATCGATTTCTTCTTTGATTAAAATTGTTGTTTGCTTACTTTTAGTGGATTACGAGCCCCGAACATAACTTTATTGACAACTACATATCATTTAGAAAATCTAATCCTAGGTCAAACTTTCATATTGTTCATCCACAATATCTGTGGCGTCTATGGGATTACATACAAGATCATACTACAGCTCATATAAGACGCAATCCTCCATCTTCGGGATTTTTAGGTAAAATATTATAAACTCACACATTTATGTTTTACACAATACGTATACATTGTATAGGTAGTTAAATTCACTCATGTAGTATGGAGATGACCAGTTTTGGATAGTACCTAACGTAAGGCAAATTACAAACTACACTAACGCAGCAGTAATTTCAATACATTTTACTTAAAGTAACGCAATTGTAACAAAATTACTTTTGAAAAGTAATTTCTATGAAGTAACGCACTAATGCGTTATTTTCTTCGTTATTAAAATAATAGTTTTGAATGTATTACAAAAACAATCCGATAAGATATCCCAGAAAAATTAAAAATCAATTATATTTATTTTTGATTCCGATGATAGTTAACAATATAATTAAACATTCCAGGAATACATTTTATTACTACATAGCAGAAAGAAAAAACTTCGGTTTAAAAATAAAATTTAATTAAAATTAATTATGATTTATGACTATATAGCTATATAGGTGAGATTATTGTATATTTGTACATACTACTATAATAAGACTATTATCACTAGGTCTATGATAGTAAAATATATACATAATAACTAAATCATAAACAATTTATAAAAAAAAGTAACGTTATTTGTAACGCACTACTTTATTAATGAAAAAGTAATGTAACGTGATAAAAATAATTTTAGGTAACGCAAATGTAATTTAAATTAAAATATTTAAAGTGACGAGTAACGTAATTTCATTACTTTTAATAAGTAATTTACCCAACACTGGAGATGGCATAGTTAAACCATATTTTAAGAACATAAACTATATAATAACAAATGTATAATATTTAATGTAGAACTAATACTTGTATTGTATTTACAGTTATTCAATTTGTTTTATATTTCACTGTAGCTAATGTAATACTGTTAGGAAATGGGTTCTCTGAGTATTTTTTTATATATATTTATACAAATAATTAATAATTTATTCTCTGAGATGATTCGCTCTTTCCCTCCTTTCCCTCTTTTCCATACCCAAGTTTGGACTGTGTATTCCAACAAAATATGGCAAATAAATAATATATATTTTAAATAAATAATAATTAAACACTGCATATTATGCAATATGCATACTTGGGTAATAATTCGGGTACGATAATTCTTAAAGTATTTAGAATGAATATTCAAATAGTTTTGAGAATATGTGTTCTATAATACATTTTCCAATATGAATATTCCTAAAGTAGGTATTTCAAATATTCGTATAATACATAAAATACATAATATAATACATGAAATATAAAAATTATCTGGTTCATTTAAATTCATTCAAATATCTGTAACAAATCATAAAACACATTCAAATAATAATAGGTGACATTATAAAAATATGTGGCTATATTATTATTTTTTGGTCACAGTGTTTGAAGTGGAGCAATAAACACTAAATAGTTATAAGATACTCAACGGTCCCGATTCTAAAAAAGTATTCGATAATATTCAGAATATAGTAACTATGGTCAAACACCTACGCACAACAAAAAATAGTAATCTGTGCTTAACAAAATAATAACAATTTAAAATAATGTAAATAATCTTTATTTATTTTATATTTTATTTTTTACAAAAATAAATGTTGAATTTCAAATAGAATCAACTATGGTTAATTTGGTTATTAGTACCTATACACAAAATATGAACAAATTAAATCTGCTGTTTTCAGTTCTAAACACTCAGATTGTTAATTGGTTTGAGACTTCGGCATATTGCATGCATAGACTTTGTGTCAAATCTTCGGGTGTTGGGAGGACATAACCTCCCTATAAGGCTATACTATGGTGTGGGTAATGGTCATATCTGTAAAGGCTGTAAACCACTACCGTGTGAACGGATAGTCTAATATGTAACGTGTGCAGTACGAAAAATATATATTTAAACCTATGATGGCTCACTTATAGCCATATCAAATACAAAATAATAATAGACATATTATAAAAAGACAATAGTCAATTAAATACGGCATACACCCAGGGCCTGACACAGTCGCTATTGTACTTACTTATACGAGGTGTATCTGGAAGATATGATAGGCGCATTTAAATGTAATTTCAGAACGAAATCATCAAAATGTAAATACTCCAGTTACACCTTGTACACATATATATATTTATATAATATAGGTATTTATATTTTATACATAGGTACATATTATAATATAGTAATAAACACGTGCGAACCGTTACGCTAATTACCGGTAGCGGATAGAATAGGTATTATAGTGCTGCAGACATGTACACGGTGGCGTATTGTTACACCTGCGATAACCATACCTAAATAATTGTATGAAATATATTATCATGTATATTATATTACTATATTATCAGCTGCACTACATTATTATTTTCGATTTTAATTACAGGATTAGCAATGCTGTTGCCGCGATGCACGGTCGTTAACATGTTCGAGTTCATACCGTCTGAAAGAATGACACACCGATGTCATTACTATCACGAAAAAGTCGACGTGACGTGTACGTTTGGGATTTGGCATCCGCTGGCGGCGGAAAAACTTCTGATGCTAACGGCGAACACCATGCCTGATCAAACAGTTTTCCACACAGGGTTCCTCTCAATCCCCGGTTATAAGTCTCCGATATGCACTTCGTTATAGTGACTGCGATAAATAATATGACGTATTATTTATTATTATGATCATATTTTTTTTTTTATATTCGTACCTAATGAGTCTTGTATTATAACACCCACAACGCTAATAATAATTATTATGTATGAGGTCATGACGAGGTACCTACCTACCGTCTTTATTTAGTGTAGCTGCAGTGTGCCCATATTATTAGAGTGCGATCATAATAATTTGTTAATATGATAGGTATATTATGATTTATGACGTACCAAGTAGAGATGTTCTGAGTAGAAAATCTGGTATAAAGCCGGGTACCGAGTACTGGCCGAGTAAAATTTATAGCACTAACCGGGTTTCGAGTATTGGCCGAGTAAAAATTTTAACACTAACCGGGTATCGAGTATAGGCCGAGTAGAACTGTAAATACAAAATTTGTATTATACTACTATCAAAGTATCAAGTATCAAATTTATAAACATTAGACAGAAAACACGCTAGATTTATTTTTGTAATTTGTAGATGAAAAACATGATTTGCTTATAATTATCTGGCTATTGTAATTCGGTTCAGTTATTTCAATATGTACCAAAATAAATTATAATTTATCACCCGACAATTTTAGATTTTTCCCGTTATATTAATTATAGGTATGCATATATTTATAAATAGATTATCAGAGTTTGCCATTGGATATGAGTCGAGTAAAAATGAAGATATTACGCCGGTACCGAGTAATGGCCGGGTAAAAATGTAGGTATTACGCCGGGTACCGAGTAAGAGTCGAGTCTTAAATATGATATCGAGTACCCGGCCATCGAGTAATTGCCGGGTACCCGGAACATCTCTAGTACCAAGTACTTAATAATATTATTAACTGATCAACTTCGAACTTATTATCTCGGAACAATATTTATTAGTAGATTAGGTATACAATACAACACGAAGTCTGACGTTGTAATTTTTTTTTTATTATTGTACAGAAACAAAATATTACTAGGATTTATACATAATATTATTATACACTTATATAGTGAAAATTACAACAACATTGTTTTATATTTTCTTCAGTTTTTATACTATTATAACAATGATTATGGCTAATTCGTTTTTTTTTTTTAAATATTTTGTATTTTATTATATATATACGACTGATAATTATATTATGTTGTTGGCATTTCTATAATATAATGCCGTAGTAATTGTGTATGCTATATATTGTGTATTTATATTATTGTTTCATCGACATTATATTATTATGTTGTTGTCATTTTCAAGAGTCATCCGAATTCCGATCTCAATGTTTGAGTGAAACAATAACTTCTACAGTTCTACACATAATGAGTAATGACAATAATACGACCGTGCACGGTCATAATAATATAGTAAAATATATAATAATTTCGTAATATTTTATTCAAAATTACACTTTAATGTGTATGATGGTCATACAGATTATTCAAAATACGCGTGACCTGTGGTAGTAATATACGACCCAAGAACCGCGTATTATTCACCTTACAATCTATTGGCTGTATAATAGTAGTTTTACCTACCTATATTATAAATATTATGAAAAAAACACAAACAAGACAACATAATTTTTGGTTGTTCTTAATGTGGTATACACTACTTTGATACAAGTTAATATTTTTTATGAATATATATTATTATTACAATTTAAAATATTGAAGTAAAAGTTTATAGGTCACTAATTATCCCTTTACTTTTCTTGGTGCAAAATACTTACCCAATCGACTCAATAGACTTTCATTGCCTATCCATTTATTATTTTTATGTTTAATTAATGGTAAATAATATTATAATTTGATTCCGAACGGAACATTTTAATCTAGTGTACCTATCTGTAGTAGGTATAAATGTATAATATAATACTTACGATAGTTAAAAAAAAAATGGTGACTAATTAAATTATAGTTAGTAATAACCCAGCTTCTATTAACATTTAAAGTCAACAGTAACACAAACCTCAAATTACAAAGTGTATCGATACAAATTAAAAATATGTACCTACCTATACCTAACGTTTAGCCGATATACTTTTAGAATTTACCTATCAAATTTTTCGTAATTTAAATGTTAAGTAGGTACTTATTATAACTTAATGTACCTACCTCTACCTCAGACCTCTATAGGGGTGTTGACCAGTTGTCCCCCAACCGAATGTACCATTTGCCCTTACATGTTAATGTATATTACATACACGGTAACAATATATAGCCTGTAAAATAGGGGTGGTAAATATACAAATAATAAATAAAATTATTTAAAATAGTATAAAATGATAGAAAAATTCATATGACCGGAATATATAGGTACCTAATATTGTATTTTGTAATAAATAATAATTACCAACAAAATAATATGAATACAATAGTCAATCAAATAATAAATATTATAATTATGTGATATTCAATGTAATAATTTTTCAACAAAAAAATAGTATAAAATTATAGAAAAATTTCATAATAAATAATATAATTATAATGAAAAGCGGCATATTCAATGTGATAATTTGTCAAAAAAAAAAATAGTAAAAAAATTAGATATAATATTATGTACCTACTATGTTTTGTTATAATAATTACTATTTATAATTATTATTTGTATATTTACCTCCCCTATTTTACGGGCTATATATTTTAATACCTAGTATATATATTTACATATGAGGGCAACTGGTACATTCTGTTGGGGGCAACTGGTACATAGTGTTTAAGGTAGTTGGGGGGGGGGGGATTTGTATAAAAAAAGTACTTTTGGGGGCAACTGGTACATGCCCCTTTATAGTACACAGAACATTATAAAGCCATAAAGGTTAACTACATTTAATTAATATTTAATAATCATAACTGTATAATAGTAGGTATAATATATTGTTTAGAATGATTTAATAGGTAGATAGTAAACTTTATTGTTTTAAATGTATATATATTATTTCGAATTTCTCTCAAAACTATTGATAATTTCTATAAGCCTCTACTTAGAGTTTAATAAAAAAATCTATTAAAATACCATTCCTGTTTTATAACTTGACAGTATTTTTGAATCGACAAGAGAAAAAATAATAATATTTTTTAAAATATGTTTGAGATCTCTTTTACTCCACCTCATATTTACTACAAGGCACAAACTATAAACTACATCAAAAAACCAATGTTTAAGTTTTCATTTTTGGAATTCAATCAAAAGATATAAAGTGTAACCTAGTAACAGAGTAACTTAATTTTTAATGTAGGTCATATTATTATAATTCTAATTTTTTTTCAACTCATATTCTAACTGAAAATAACAGTTTACAGTGGAGTGTATTTAAAAAATGTAATAATTTTTTTTGAAATTGGTGTGTATTCAAATTGTAAGCTCTTATATATATTAAGAAGAGGTAGTAGGTACGTTCCAAAAGTCCGGTATCAAAAATAATGTACCATGCTATTAAGTTGGAAATTTTCATTGATTACTGTGGAAAATTCACATTTAGATAACTATATTGCTGTACACGGTCCCACGGAGATAGTTATAGGTTGATACGAGACTTTAGAGACATACTATATAGACTTTAGTTCGTTAATTCATGGCCACTGGTTGGGTAAATTGTAAATATTGTTTTAATTTAACGAAAACAAAATAATATTAAATCATTTAAATCTATAAACTATATACTTTCTACCACTTCCTTCATAGTTGTTTAACAGTAATAAAAATAACAAGTGGCATGTTGCCAGAGGAGCTGATGTCATCGTATGAATGTATCGTTGTAATGAATAGGAGAGGCGAATGCGAACACGTACAGCAACACTATAGTAGTTATATACTTGGTATATGTTTAGTCTTTCTACATTATTTACGCTGAACATTTTTTAATATTAAAAAGTTTTAATAGCTATTTTTTTATTTTTTTTTTGTATGTGGTTTAAAATGTATTAAACTTATATATTATGTATACATTGATTTATTAACGAGTATATTATAGTTTTAGACAGTAGCGTATGCAGAATTTTAGTTAGGTTAGGGTTTTACCTGGATAAATAATTTACATTATTTTTTTCTAAACCGTTTTTATAAAGGTAACAAATAATAGTTAGTCTCAAATTTAGTCTACATTTACAGTGTTTAACCTGGTCATCTATAGAACTTCCTCGGGCCGTAATAAACGTAGTAATAATCAATGGACGATGATACACCATAGATTATGGCAGACGTTTAGCAAATGTTCTAAATCAGCCAAAAAAAACTGAAACCATGATTATCGACGTCTTTGTTATATTCAACAATTTATTTTATATCTATTAAAAATGACCAACAATATTGATCCGTGGGTATTAAAATGATGATAAATATGATTTTTTTGGAGAATAAAGAAATTTCAGGGGGTTCAGAACCTTGCTAGCACCCTATACCCCTGCGTACGCCACTGGTTTTAGAATGTATACGTGATTCATAAATTTATAAAAATATTTAGGTATTTTATAGTACTATATAATAATATAGTATTGGTATTTGGTAGGTACCTACTGGCGCACTGCATAATATATACTACTAGGTGCCTATGTATAGTTATAGGCTATAGATATACCTACTTCGTTCGATGCAGTGCTTACTGAAGTTTAATTAATTGGATAACATACAGCAGTTGAATAATTTTCAATATTTTGGGTGTAATAAGATATAAACAATAAGTGTAGGTATTAGTAGGTATATTTCCAATAATATAATCATTGAATATTTTATCTGGCACACATCATTAATATTGTTCTGTAAAAACATACATTGATATAGCATCGAAATATCGAATAGATATCTACGGACTACAACGAATTGGCCTCTGTTAAAAATTTAAATGTCCATATTGAAAAAAAGGATAGGTGGGTCGTGGGTAATAGATAGTACAAACTAAAAAATAATAATTACCTTCACCCTTCAGGCTTCAACAACAATTACTATCAACAGTGTTTCATAGCGTTCTCAACAATAATTTCGGATTGTGGCGGTGGCTGGGATAACGAGTT